ACATGTCTAAGAACTGCCTGACTGGAACTCATATCTGCATTGGCACACCAGAACAACAAAGACCAATACTTGCAGGCAGCAGTGTAGTCCTTGTTCTGCAGGCTAGGCTTCAACCCTGGCTGGCTACCTTGGGTAAACACCAATCCTGACAGAATGCTCTCAGGATGACTGGGGACACATACATATGACTTCCCTTCAGCCTGCACCATGGGGGAAGGGAAAGAATCCAGGTCACAAAGTCCAGAGGGCATGAGCAAGCTGGGCAATATCTCACAGGGGCTCCACACATGGAACTGAGACCCATACAGAAGACCAACTCACCACACATGCCTAACAGGACAGAACTGAAGTAGGTGACCATGTTCACCTGTCCTCTGGTCCTGATGAAACTATGGGAAGACCAAGAATGGAGTTCCCCAATGCTGGTCCAGTGCCGAAGAGTCAGAGGTACCTTGTTCCTGGCAGACAGCAGAGTGCCTGGTTGCATCTCCCACATGGGGTAGGTCCCCTGCTTGGGGCTGCAGCAGCAGCACATTTTGGTACAGCATCTCAGGGACAACACATGTGCACCTTCTGGCATCAGAAGGACTCCAGATGCACCGGGTGTGAAGCAAGTGGATGCAATCGGGCCTTTTGCTCCTGAGCCCCCAAGTCTGACTTGAGGATGGCCCTCCGGGTCTGCTTGCAGTCCTGGCACCTCACTTGACTGCAGAAAGCTCCCAGTTTAGATGGAGAAGCCTGCATGGCTCTACTGAGAAACAGATAGAAGAGCCCAGTGTTTGGTCTCAAAGAGCAAGGGGACCAGGGTTCAGCCTTAGAAGTGAAAAGGGAAATTGGTTGTAGCTTGAGACTATGGCTCCAGAACAAGAACTTCATTTTAACCATCCCAAGTGAAAGGATGGTACAAGGCAGCAGGCTGGGTCTGGGCCAGCCTAGCCTCACTGCCCTACTGATAGTGTGTCGGGGTAAAGCTGCAGGGTGCACACAGTCAGGGTACATAAAGGGAGAGAGCACAAAAGACAGAGCATGGCTCCTCCTCGCCTTACACCTGAGCCCACGACTGGGGAAGAAACAATCCACCTTGGGCAACAGCGTCATCCTGGCTTTGACTTTCTATGTGTTGAATGGCATGTGCTGAAAGTATAGAAACAGGCCATGTAGAAATAGGCTCCTGGGCTGGAGAGCTGGCTCAGTGGCTAAGAGCACTGACTGCTCTTCCAGAGGTCCTGAGTTCAATTCCCAGCAACCACATGGTGGTGGCTCACAACCATCTGTAATGGGATCCCATGCCCTCTTCTGGTGTGTCTGAAGACAGGGACAGTGTACTCACATACATAAAAAAGAAAAAGAAAAAAGAAATAGGCTCCTGCTCCAACTATGAATTTTACATTCAAAGTGACTTGTGCACAAAACAAAAACAAAACAAAAAACCCTCAGGATGAGGAAGTCAGAATGCATATGATCAGGTGGTCTCCATCAGCCCCTCACAGGACAGGACAGGACAGGACAGCAGGCAGGAGGACTCTGAGAGCCAGGCAGATAGGTAAAGCCAGTATGATGGCATACATTCAGATCTCCCATAAGGGAACATAAGAAAGTGAAAGCCAGCTCAACCTATATAATAAGATGCTGTTTCCAAAAAAAAAAAAAAACCAAGAAAGGTTTAGAAGACAGGGAAACAAATGTACACGTTCTGCTAACTTCAAATTCTAACATCAATTTTAGTGGCTGGACAGATGGATCAGCAGTTAAGAGCGCTTGCTGCTCTTACAGGGAGGACCTAGGTTCAATTCCCAGCACCCACATGGAAACTCACACCTGTCTGTGGCTCAGTTTCCATAATACCTGATGCCCTCTTCTGGCCTTTGGGGCAATGTACACATGTGGTACATATACATACATATATACATACGTACATACATACATACATACATACATACAAGCAAACACTAACACACATAAATACAAAGAAATCTAAAATACAAGCCAATTGCAATCATGCTTCTGAAGTCAAGAACTAACAACCTCCTGGTATACCAACGGCAGTGGTGGTGGGCGGTGCTCATTATATACGTTTGCCAGCCCATCGCAGTAATCTGTAATCCCAAGACTCAGGAAGCAGAGACAGGAAGATGGGTTTGAGACCAGCCTGGGCTATACAGCCCTTTTGTCTCAGGAAGAAAAAAAAATGGATGGATGGGGAGGAGATTCCCTGTATTTTGTGCACACAAACATGTCGGTGAAATGACAGGTCTGAAATGTTTTAGGATGTAAAGGGGGGGCAGCTGACAAGACAAGGTGGGAACACTGACAACTGCAGGAGAAACAAAATCCTTTAACACCTTGCTTTCCTGTTTGTAAAATTACTTCACAATATAAACTTTAAAAAAAAAAAACCGTGTGATACATTTCCCACAATAACAATTCATAAAATGAAAAGAAGGAAAAAAAGAGAAACATTTTTATCATGTTGGCAGCCCCAGCCTCTTTCACTGTAAAGAATAACCCCAATGGTGTTGACAGAGAAACTCAAAAGTTACAAAATGTTGCTTCTTAAGAATGTGTAAATCAAAGCTTTTACATCTTTTCTCCTGAACACTCTTTAAATTCCTCCACAAGCTACTGGAGAGGGGGGGAAATTTGGGGGGGGGGTGGGAGGGGGGGAGTTTTCCCACAAGTGCTCAGCCACTGGGCTGTGCGTTCCAGCTGTTGGCAGAGCTATCCCTGCGGCATACAGGCCGCCAGGCTGCAGTGACAAAACTGTGAATTGAGGAGAATGGGGGCAGGGCGGGGCGGGTGGGGGTGAGCAGGGCTAACTGCTGCCATTAAAGACCACTGCGATGATCAAAGACCCAGTCCTGATTGGCAACTCTCAATCCAGTTTCCACTGTCACAAAGGTTATTTTGTAGCGAATACTCCTGGGCTATAATGCAGGAGGCAAAGCTCCTCCCAAACAGTTTAAGATCCTTGGGTGGGGAAACCCCACCTAGAACCTATCTAGGAAGGTTCAGGGTGGGTAGAGAATTTACCTTCCCTAAATCACTAACCATTCCCAATAGCACAGGAAGGAAAAGAAAAACCCTGTGAAGTTCTGAACCTTGGCCCCCGATGCTACTAACCTCACACACATAACAGTATTTGCAACAGACACAATAAGAACCCACTGTGAATTCTATTTTTAAAGTTAATTCACTAAGTATTTGCTTTCTATCAAGCTCAGAAACAGCAAAACGATGTAACTTTTCTATCATTCAGATCCAATGGCCTTCCATGCTCCTAAACTTGCAAATATGATGGAGTCTCTTTGAAGAGAAAATGGGGGGGAGGGGGCGATTCCTTGTAAACAGAATTAAAAGCCTTGGTATGTACAATAAAATGGAGCTGCACTCCAGCCTTGCAATTACAGACACTAGCCCACCTGAAACTTGGGTTCCTTCCCAGCCTGCCATTAGCCAAGAATTACCCTAGAGGCATCTCTTTTCTCACCCAAGGCTTTTTGGTTATGAGGGGACTGTCTTTCCCTTAGGCCACAATGCAGAGGCCCACGCAGCAGCCATCTTCAAAGCTGCCACTGACCAAAAGGAACCGGTTGATCCAGAAGGCTACCGCATTCTAAAGGCAACAAAGATCCCCTTGCAGAACACACAGTAGGCTCTTAATTTCACCCTACCTAGGAACTCACTGGTCTAATCCACACCAAACAAGTACTTCCAACAGTGGGTCAAGGTCAAAAGGGACTGGAAACCACTTCTTATGGGAGTGCTCAAACAGGTTGCCCTAATGCTTGCTGGCTCCCAGATGTTAAAGGGCTCTTAAATCTCTCGGAGCCTCCACAGCCTGTCTTCAGAAAGAGCCACTGTGGCAAGCTGAAAGGATCAACACGCAAAATAGACGAAAGTCTGGCCTCGTCCCCAAGGAAGTCACTAGAAACTGACACTCTGGAAAAAACGTACAGATTCCGAGCTAAGCTTTGCTAGGTTCCTCCACAGCGCTGAGCTTGGGGGGGTGGGGGGGGAAGATTCCCAATCTGGCAGGAGGCTGCCCTCGCCATTTCGCAGGGGACCTCCAGACCCCAACATCTGTCCCTAGGACCCGGGCACCTCCCAAGCGCAAGGTTAAAAGGGTCTTCAAATTGCTGGGAAGCCTTTTAACGCATTTAGAAGTTGGTCAATGGGTATCCGAGGAGCCCTATGACATCAGGGGAGGAGGCGCACTAGGCTCCGGAGCAAGCACCATAGGGAATCCGGGAGGATCTGGGAGGCTTCCAGACCCCACAGTGAAGAAGTCTGGGGAGGCCCCAGGGCCGAACCACTAGGTCAGGTGGGCAGCGGGGAGGCCCCGCGGGCGCCAAGTACAGCCTGGCGGACAAAGGGGGGCAGGCTGAGCCCGAGCAAGCGGCGGGGCAGCCGGGAAATGGAGCCACGTGCCTGGCGGGAGAAGGCGAAAAAGCCTCCCAACACTTGTTTTCTCAAGCCCACGAGTAAACCGCCCTCCGCTCAGCTCGAGAAGCGGGGTGGGAAAATGCGTTCGTGTTTTTAAGTTTTCTGGAACTTTTCCAGAGAAACGGGCACGCTGGTGGGAAGGGGTGCCACGGCGGCCACCCGCTCCGCTAGGAAATCGCAGGGCGATTAGCACTTGAATGGGGAGGGCGGCTGCCCGGCGTGGAACGGCGTCCCGGCGGCCGATCGCGGTCCCGGGGCCCCGGGGTTCGGTTCCCGACCCGTCCAACTCCCCGCCCCAGGCCCGGCGTGCTGGGCCCCACAGCTATGCGGCGGGAGGAGCGCTGCGGGAGGACGGAGACCCGTTGCAGGCCGGGCCTGGCTCCCCCCTCCCCCGGTCCCGGCGGTGCTGCTCCGCTGCACTGGGCCTCCCCGCCCCGAGGCCCTGCCCGGCCGCCCCGAGGCTACGCCGCGGCCCCACAGGCCCCGCCGCCCTCGCCTGCCCCGCCCGCCAACCGCCAACCGCCGCGGCACGAGTGCCGGGCGACGCGCGGACTCACCGGGGCCGGCTCCCGAGTACATGGTGGCGCTGCCGAGGGCCGCGGCCGAGGGCCGGCCGCGCGCTCCACGGGCCCCGACGCCGCGAGCCGCGAGGACCCGCCGGCCGCTCGATCCGCCCCGGCGCGGCTGCCTCGCAGAACAGGTTTACCCGACGCGGCCGGGGCGGCGGGCGGAGGCGGCGGGAGTGGAGGGGGAGGGGAGCGGGAGGAGGGAGGGGAGGAGGAGGGGCGAGAGGGACGACGAGGGAGGGAACGGCGGGGAGGGAGGGAAGGAGGGGACGGCGGGGAGGGAGAGAGAGGGGGCGGGGAGGAGGGAAGGTGGCAGGGAGAGAAGGGGGCAGGGGAGGAGGCTGAAGGGGGCGCGAGCCGGCGGGATGGGGGGGGGGGGATCGCGGTGTGGCCCCCCGTGTGGTTGTCCTGAATGAGGGACCCCAGAAGCGACCCGGGGCACGCGAGCCGAGACCTTCCCTGCGACCGAGCGAAGCGACGTCTGCCTTCCGGGCGCGGCCAGCCCAGCACTGCGACCAGAGTCGGAGTCCTCCCGCGCCGAGTGGCAGAGCCCCGGCCGCGTCCCGCCGCACACCCGCCCCTGCACCTCGGTCTGGCTCTTTAAGTTATTAACGAAACGGCGACGGGAAGCTAGCTCCCCACCCAGAGCTTGAACTTGGACGCAACCAGACCGGTGCGCGTGACCACACCGCCACCTCCCGGCGCGGCTCGACAACCTAGATACTCGTAATAAAGCACCAACGAAGCCCAGCAAGTTCAAGATTAATTTTATCAGCTGTCAGGGAGCAGATCTCCCCGCTTCCTGTGCTCACAGCCCCCCAAGTTCTGCTCTAAGGCCTCCTAGACCAGCCTGCTCTGTGCACATATGTCCTTCTCCCACTTGTTGCTGGCATGTGCTCCCAGTCCTGTCCAGCTGTCTCTGGAACGTTTTCTATAGAAGAGGTGGTGTCAGCTCCTGCCTCACCCTGCACGCTTGACAGTGTCTTCAAAGCCCATGCTGAGGACCCAGGCCAAAGACAAACAGGGTCTTACTGCAGGGACCTCAGCATCAGGCTAGGCTCCATATCCTGTGTAGTGCTCAAAAATAGTTCCAGGAGCAGGAAAAGCAGCTCTCCTTCCAGTAAACATAGAAAGGAGGAGGAGGAAACAAGGCACGGTACTGCAGGGCTGCCATTCCAGCTACTCAGAAGTCGAGGAAGGAGGATGGCAAGTTTAAATCCAGTCTAGAATGCATAGAAGAAAGACTTGGGTTCCCCCCCCCTCCCGAGTGATTGACACAAATGGGTAATCAATTATACCTAGCCCTTGTAGCCAACACTTGTCACCACTACTTTGGGGATGGAGACAGGATTTGCTGAACTCAGGAGAGATCTTTGCTAGAACCAGGCAGGGTAACACAGAACTAGTGGGAGGTGGGGCGGTGTTAGACTTCACTCAGCAGTAGAGCACTGACTGAAGACCTTTTGCTTTACCTCCCAGCAGTGACACCCCGCCCCCAAAGTCATGAAGTCTGTTGGGGGGGAGGGGTATGGAGTAGGTAAGTTGCCAGGCATCAAGAAGCCCTGGGTTCAATCCTCAACACCACAAAAAAACTGAACATGATTACACATGTATTTCTGAGCACAGGGAGGTCTGGGTACACTGAGCATTGCTGCTCATCACAGGGAAGATGGACGTCATGTGCCCTCCCTCCAGAGTGGAGTGAGAAACATGGAAGAGCATGTCTGCAGATGGGATCCAGTCAATGCAGCTAAGTGCAGCAGTGTGCTTGGCCCTGAGCCAACAAGCCAGCATCGGCCTGGCAGGGTGACTTCATTATTGTAAGGGTTCCTAAGCATCCAGGTGTGCTTCCGGAAGGCTGAAACAGTATAGGAGTCCCTGCCTCTACGAAAGGAAGGGAGGGAGAGAGGGAGAGACGGAGGGAGGGAGGGAGAGAGAGACGGAGGGAGGGAGGGGAAGAGCCCAAATAAGCAAAATTAAAGTAGCCCAGAGATGCTTTTGTAGAACGTATTAGCTACTGTATCAAGCTAGCAGCAAGGGCAGTGTGGAGCAGCCCCTTGGGTACCTGTGGTGGCAGCGTACCGTTCCAGGAGCCATGTTTCACTCGAGGCCCACAGCTCCTGCTTGACAGCGTAACACTAGGACCTGGGGGAAAAGCTGCAGGCTCTGCAGTAGAATGGAGGCTGGGAAACTTTGTTTCCAGGCAGGATAATCTCAGGAAGGCTGGATTGTGTCTCTGCTGAGACCCAACACTGCTCTCTGCTGGTGGAAGCATGCCATTGCTTCCTGTCTGGGCAATGAAACAGGAGATCCTGTCTTCCACATCTCAGTACCCGGTTACATCCTGGGCTCACATCCAGCCATTCAGCAGTAGGATTCAGAGTGCCCCTTTCCAGGGTGCAGCCATCCTCTCCTGTGCTGGTGCACCACCCAAAGATCTGCAGACCCACAGCCCAGGTCAGGGATACCTTCTCTCTCTCTGACAATTCCTTCCTTAAGTCACCTCTTCCCCCACACCCCACCTGCCTTCCTACTGCCTTCTTTGTGACCTGCAAGCTAGGACTCAATTTACAATGGTGTCATCTCCACCCATGCCTAGAACCTTCTCCAGTTCCCAGTCTGGCCTGGCACATAGCTTTGGAGGCCTCAGCCCCTCCCAACTCAATTCCCACTCTTGTGTTGGGGCTCCTGGTGCTATAGGTAGCTATAGGCTCGGGCACAGGCTGAGCTGATAAAGTAGACCAGTCTATAACTCAGAACACTTGGCACTCCCAGTTTTGATCAATAACCCCCAGGAAAGAGAGAAGAGTGCCTGAGGCATTGCACAAAGCATGCTCCAATGCCACGGGGCCTAAAGCATTCAGCTTTAGGGGCTATTAGTTCCTTCAAGTTGGACGCCATGTGCTCTCCCTCCAGAATGGATCGAGAAAGACAGAAGAGTGTGTCTGCAGATGGGATCCAGTCAATGCAGCTAAGTGGTTGGTCATGTTTGTAATCCTAGCACAGAGACTAAGGCAGGGGGATCAAAAGAAAGACCACCTCAAAACCAGCTGGGTGTGGTGTCTGCCTCTAATCCCAGCACTTGAAAGGCAGAGGCAGGTGGATCTATATGTTTTTGAAGCTAGCCTGGTCTACATAGTAAGTTCTAAACTAGCCAGAGCTACACAGACCTTGTTTCAAAATATGTATTATGAATTTTGTTTTTGTTTTTGTTTTTTTTTGAGACAAGGTTTCTCTGTATAGTCCTGGCTGTCCTGGAACTCACTCTGTAGACCAGGCTGGCCTCGAACTCAGAAATCCGCCTGCCTCTGCCTCCCAAGTGCTGGGATTAAAGGCAAGATATTTTTAATATACATTAGAAAAAAGGAAATCAATTTGGGAAGTATTGAGTCGAACAGCACTGCCGTTTACTGACTGCAATCCTCAACGTCTTTAGCAAGGTTTGACGAATCCTCCTTGTAGGAGAGAATCAGGGATAGTGCATTTACCCATTTTCTGTTGCCGTAACTGAACACCACAGCCTGAGCAATTTAAAAAGATCCAGAGATTGGCTTAGCTCGGGGTTGTTGGACATAGCCTCAGAATCTACTCAGCATGCAAAGAACCCAGCCCTGGGCTAGCATAGACAATATGCAGCCTGTCCCCAACACACTTGTCCACAGAGTCCTCTTGTCCTCGGGGCCATGCTAGAACTTTTTTGCCCCCCTCCAGCTTTCATACGCTAAGATTCTTGGCATAAAAGGGGTGGCACACGCCTTTAATCCCAGCACTCTGGAGGCAGAGGCAGGAAGATATCAGAAGCCAGCCTAGTTTACAGAGTGAGTTCCAGGATGACCAGGGCTGCACAGAGAAAGTGTGCCTCAACAAACAGAAGCATTGCTTGCTGCTGGCTGTGGCAGCACACTTAATTCCAACACTCTGAGTTCTGCTGGCCTAGTCTTTATAATGAGTTCCAGGGCTGCATAATAGAGAAGCCCTGTCTCAAAGGAAGAAAAGAAAGAGATCGGAGTAGCAAAGTCACAGAGTAAAAGATGTTTGCACACTAGTACAGAGATGTGATACCCAACAATATATCCTCTGTATGTGTATAATATCTCCAAGGATAGAGAATTCATCCAGAATGTATGAAGGTCTAAATAAAGGAAATACAAGTAACAACACAACAGGGAAATTGGCAAAAGACTTGAGACGCTTCAGAGAGGAAACTGAAGAGTCAGTAGGTTTGTGGAAAGAGTGCTGGGCTCACAGGCAGTCACAAACGGGCACTACTACAGATCCACTGGTCCTGAAGATGGAGAGAAGTAATGGTGTGGAACCTGATCTTGAGCACCTTCTCGATCACCCGACCCACAATGCATCACTGTGTCACTGTTTAACCTGGGCCACCCATCCCTGTCTCTCCCCTCCTCCTGTAATTCCTCCTGAGATCAACTCCACACGGGATTGACCCCTCTTCCTAACAAGGTTCCACACTTTCCCAAAGACATTTGTCTGTGTCTTGCTGCTGTAGGGTTCAAGATGAACTCTGATGTAGCTACCAGCCACACACTTCAGCCGTGGGTTGGACCATCCTGCACTTTCTGTATGTTTGGGACAGCTAACCCATCTGTGGCAGCCTTGACACCAGCAGTCACTACCCTGCAGGGCCAGTCCATTACAGAGAGGCACTATTCGGGACAGGAAGAATCATAGCATCATTGTGGGGCTTGGGCCCTTTGTTTACCTGGGTAATGGTGTGTGACGCTCAGCCCCCGTGGTCATGCCACTGGGAGTTCTAATCCTATATGTTCCGTGTACCTGAGGCAGGGGAATGCTGCCAGGGTTGGGAATGAAAAAGAGGCCAGTGGAGGGACCTAGAACATAAGTGGACACTCTGTAAGAGGGCTCCAACCTTCCCATGTTCTGTGTCCAATCCCTGTGCTTCCCCTTCAGTTCTAACCGAGCACCTGGCACTATAGTCACCTTGTGGATTAGTGGGGCAAGTGACAGCTCCAGACCCCTCGACTGTGTCCCCTCTAACTCATGCTGAAGTCCTCACC